GGGATCAAATACTTATTTCATTCATGAAAATGCAAATTACTTTATAACTTTTTTTGTAATAATTTTTTCAGGATTTTTTTGTTATTGTTGTGTCTCTCACTGTTCACATAAACCTACCATTGACATTGTAGACTGAGCATTTCTTTGTTAGTGGGCAAACTTACAAAATCAGCTGGGGTTCAAATCATTTTTTCCCTGACTGTACATCCACTGTATGCATCACTCTAAAATGGATGGGGCACTACTGGAGTTTCATTTAACTCTCCCTTAATGGTCAAAAATTAGGGAGACAGTTAATGCAGCTTTAAAGTTTGATTTAATTCAAGGTTTACACCTTTGTTGGACTCAGTCTATAATAATACTCAATCAAAATTTGGACAGGTGTGTATGTTAGTGACAGGATCTGATCACAGGTGTGTTGTGAGTGGGCAGAGTCAGTATGAGGGTCTTACTGAGTGTATGAATGCTGTGGGTGGAGTCTTACCTGCAGAGTTCTCTTTACAGATGAAGCGCATCAGTTTCATGAAGCCCATGGAGATGCTCTGTTCATACAGGTCTTCTCCTCTGGTCACAGATGCCCAGTGTCCAGCCGGATACTCCCGCTCCTCGTACAGCAGCTCACCCATCTGTGGTGATCAGACATCCTGTCTCAAAGTGATGCTGAAAAACTGGTCCATGCATTTGTTACCTCCAGGCTGGACTATTCTAACTCTTTACTATCAGGATGTCCCAGTAAGTTCCTAAAAAGCCTCCAGTTAATCCAAAATGCTGCAGCCAGAGTACTGACAGGAACTAGCAAGAGAGATCATATCTCTCCCATATTAGCTTCTCTCCACTGGCTCCCTGTAAAATTCAGAATAGAATTTAAAATCCTTCTCCTAACATACAAAGCCCTTAATGACAAGGCTCCATCATATCTTAAAGACCTCGTAGAGCCTTATAATCCCAGCAGATCATGTGATAAAAGAGCGGCTGTGAATGTCTTTTTTAAAACTTTGTCCCTGAAGCAGTTTGAGGAGTGTACTCTTACCATGTACTTAGTACAGTGTCACAGTGCATGTACCCACCCAAGAGCAGAAGGTAGACTCCAATGATGGTCTCTCCCTGGTCTGACAGAGGAGGGTCTCTGCCCTCCCTCAAGATGAAGCTGTGGTTCCTCCAGGGGGGGGTGGCGGCAGCTGAGCTACTGTCCAACGACATGTCTGAGCCAAATGGGAGCTGCTGCTGTTTGTGAAGAGCCACTGTATCTGCACTTAATCTGGGGTAAATATAGAGTCCTGATCCTGGTTCAGCTCCCCAGCAGGACTCAGCAGGGCTCAGAGGTCACACAGGGTAAACAGCAGCTCTCTGATTGGCCAGTAGATTGATGATACAGTAAACACTCAGCAGGTGAATAGATTCAATATGTACATGTGACTGTGTTTACTGTGTTAGAAGTAACAAGTACTTTTACTCATGTACTGTAGGAAAGCACTAGTTTGAGGTATTATAATTTACTTTAGTATTTCTATTTTACTTTGCCTAATACCTTCCTACTTCCAGAATAAACTATAATACTTTGCACTACGTTTGTCAGAGAGCTGCAGGTATTATAGATTAAACTACCAGCAGTGTACACAGTGTATGTAGTTCTGTTAAGTCTCTATAAGTTTCAGTTTCCTTAAAAAAGAAAACTCACTAGAATATACCAAGAAGTGGTAAATGTAATCTTTCCTGGTCATTTTATTATATCATTTCCTTTTATTACATGACATTGCGTGGTAATAAAAAGTATTTCAAAGTACAAAATTTAACAGGAAGTGTAAAGAGGAAAGGAGCTCAGAGCATCATGCACTTGTTTCGTGACTTTGTGCGAAGGCAGGGGACAGGGACATTTTCATTCACGTGTTTACTTTATTTCGCAGTAAATACTGCGGTGAACGGCAGGGGGCGGCACCGCTCCGGTCTGTGCAGCGGAGGAGCAGCAGGCGGGCTCCAGGAGCACAGACTCCTTGCGTCCGCCCGCACGCCTTCCCTCCTCCAGCTCCGGATCAGACGGTTCAGAGACCGACACTGGAGAGTCCAGGTAAGACCGCTTCACTTTGACGTCGCAGTGTTCTCCTGGACCAGGGACACCTGAGTGGCACCTGTACGAAGATCCTGCTGTAGATCAGCGACGAGAGACGGACCTAGGATCTGTGGTGGTCTGCACTTAGTCCGGGTTCCCTGTACTGGATAAAGGTTCAGACTTTACAGTGTGAGTGTGTCGCAGGTAAATGGAACCTGAAACTGAGGACTAATTGCAGTGCCATTTTAATTTGCTGTTTCTTTTTTGTTGTTTTTATTCTTAGCAGCTTTCGGGACCTCTGTGGCTTGTTGCTGAAACCCAGCCTTTTGGTTTCCCTGCTGTAATGATGAAGATAATATCAAAATGTGTGATCTTGTAATGGATATTAGCAGAACCGTTTAGACCCCTCCTGACAGGTGTCTTTTATACAGGTAACGAGTTCAAACAGGTGCAATTAATACAGGCAATGAGTGGAGGATAGGAGGGCTTGCTTCGTAAAGACAAACAGGTCTGTGAGAGCCAGAATTCTTGCTGGTTGGTAGGTGATCAAATACTTATTTCATGCAATAAAATGGAAATAAATTATTTAAAAATCTAACAATGTGATTTTCTGGAATTATTTTTGTAGATTTTGTCTATTAGGGTTAGGGTTAAATGACGTGAGGGTGAGATGACTTTTGTTGTGATTTGGTGCCATAAATAAAACTGAACTGACAACGCAAATTAATCATTTAACCAAGTTTGACCCCAACTTCTTCCCGTAATCACAGCTTGGATGGTTACCTGGCTGTGTGTTATAAGGGATGATACGATGACTGAGTACACATCACGTGGTGCAGCCAGTTTACATGCAAGCTGTTTGGGAATTTGTAGCAGACGTTACCTCATACAGTGAGGAACAGAAGTATTTGAACACCCTGCGATTTTACAAGTTCTCCCACTTAGAAATCATGGAGGGGTTTGAAATTCACATTGTAGGTGCATTCCCACTAAGAGACAGAATTTAAAAAAAAAAATTCAGGAAATCACATTGTATGATTTTTAAAGAATTTATTTGTCTTGCACTGCTGAACATAAGTATTTGAACACCTGAGAAAATCAGTGTTAATATTTGGTACAGAAACCTTTGTTTGCAATTACAGAGGTCAAACGTTTCCTGTAGTTCTTGACCAGATTTGCACACACTGCAACAGGGATTTTGGCCCACTCCTCCA